ATGTATCTCTACGTGTCGCTGTGTGTCCGTGGCGTGTCTTTAATGTATCTCTACGTGTCTCTGTGTCTCTTTGGCTTGTCTTTAATGTGTCTCTACGTGTCTCTGTGTGTCTGTGGCGTGTCTTGAATGTATCTCTACGTGTCTCTGTGTCTCTTTGGCTTGTCTTTAATGTGTCTCTACGTGTCTCTGTGTGTCTGTGGCGTGTCTTTAATGTATCTCTACGTGCCTCTGTGAGTCTGTGGCGTGTCTTTAATGTATCTCTACGTGTCTCTGTGTGTCTGTGGCTTGTCTTTAATGTATCTCTACGTGTCTCTGTGAGTCTGTAGTGTGGCTTTAATGTATCTCTACGTGTCTCTGTGAGTCTGTGGCGTGTCTTTAATGTATCTCTACGTGTCTCTGTGTGTCTGTGGCGTGTCTTTAATGTATCTCTACGTGTCTCTGTGTGTTTGTGGCGTGTCTTTAATGTATCTCTACGTGTCTCTGTGTCTCTTTGGTTTGTCTTTAATGTATATCTACGTGTCTCTGTGTGTCTGTGGCTTGTCTTTAATGTATCTCTACGTGTCTCTGTGAGTCTGTGGCGTGTCTTTAATGTATCTCTACGTGTCTTTGTGAGTCTGTGGCTTGTCTTTAATGTATCTCTACGTGTCTCTGTGAGTCTGTGGCGTGTCTTTAATGTATCTCTACGTGTCTCTGTGAGTCTGTGGCGTGTCTTTAATGTGTATCTACGTGTCTCTGTGTCTCTGTGGCGTGTCTTTAATGTATCTCTACGTGTCTCTGTGGCGTGTCTTTAATGTATCTCTACGTGTCTCTGTGTCTCTGTGGCGTGTCTCTACGTGTCTCAGCCGGGAGGAGGTGTGACGATGATGTCTGTGTCTCCAACGAGGAAGGTGATTTCTGTCGCCCAGAACAGAGGAAGGGTTTTTTTGTTGGGTGAGATCGCGTCAATAAAAATGCTTCGTTGAATCCGCCACCACCACGACACAGCCAATTAGTAATGGGTTTGTGTCACGTTAACAAAACGTGCTAATTCGTTACTCGTTAAGCACACCGGTTGTGCGTTGGAGAGTAAACACACTACAACATTTACAATTCGGGTACGACGTTTTGTTTACGTGACAAACCCCCTACCAATTGGGCTGTGTCGGGATGGTGTGCGGGTTTCACGACACACATTTATATTTTACGCAATCTACCCCAAAGTAACTTTTATTATCGATATAATGGGTCGCGAAAGACGACCGCGCGTTAAACTGCGTCGTTTACTATCCTGGACGTCCACGTTGTTCCACTCTATTCACCTGCCATATGAAAAGATAGATCATCTGCCCGAAACGTCACTTTATATATAAACGCAGCAGCAGCATCACCACCACCACCACCACATCATTCGTCATTTGGCACGGGCTAGCCGGCCTGTGCTGACCAGCAACTTCAGCTGCTTACTGGAGCTACACAAAGCAGCAGCAGCAGCAGCTTCGCTCCTTTCATCTCGTTCCGTCGCGGATGAATGGTCCTTAATCCAGGGTGCGTGAGTGACTAGGGGGAAGGGGTAACAAAGACAGAGGTTCCTCGATACACTCTTGTTGGGTGGCAAGTGCCGTTGGCGACAAAGTACCCATGAAGGCTGGAACAGCACACGAGTTAGGCAGTGGGTGTGCCAACACCCTATACGCCCGGCCGAACTTTGTCCCCACAAGTGTTGATGTATACACACCGCATCGGGTACTCATTTTGACGTTGAGTCGACCTGGGGATGGAGGCCCAGGACCGGTTCAGATAATCGCCACTGTTATTCATCGTGAGCGGGTATCGAATTGGGCTCGCAGGGTTGGTCGCGCAGTGCAGCGCTAAGCACTGCGCGACCGCTCCCCACAACGGTCGAGTTATCATTTGTTGCCAGGTCACTTCTAAACAAAAAGAAGCTGAATAACTCAGTGGGCTTTGCCTGCTACGATTAGCACGGTTGGCTATGTACGGTGCAAACAAAATTCAACATACATACACGATACAAAACATGCCAATTCGTTACGAGTTCACGACACGTGTGTTGCTTGAGAGTAAACTCGCAATATTTGCAATTGTAAACTGTCCACCACACCCGTGTGCTGAATTAGTAACGAATTGGCACGTTCTGTTGACGTGCCAAACCTTACTAAATTGGCCGTGTCGGGTGGTGGCGGGTTTAACGACACATTTATATTAACGCGATCTAACCAAAACAACCTAAATGATGGATAATATTGGTCGCGAAAGCCTACGTGTTAGACAGTATAAATATCACGTGGCGAGCAAGAGGTGCCAAAGATAAGTTCAGGTACAGGCGCAAGTAAGTGCTTTAGTTTAGTCTTGTGTGACAAACACACGGATGGGAAAAATAGCGGCGCAAACACATGGGAGGAAGAGGCGTCAGAATCAAGTTCAGGTGCAAGTGTAAAGACGACTTGTCACACTTTTCTTGAGATGGTGTCTTTATTGTAGAGACACGTTCACTTGACACAGGCGGAGACCCCACTGCAACAGCCCCGAGTCTCGTCTCTCTTATATACCGGCCGAGGTGTCGAACCTTCTCACTGGCTCTGGACGCTCGTTCCACCGGCAGACTCCACCGTTCTCTTCCGTCACCCGGCCACGCTCCCCTTCTCGATCATTCCCGCAGCCACCAGTCCCTTCGCACTCACAGCTGACTCCCCTGTCATTACCTCCCGTGGCCACTAGTCTATTCACACTGCAGGCTGATTCCCCTGTCATTACCTCCCGTGGCCACTAGTCCACTGGCACTGCAGGCTGACTCCCCTGTCATTACCTCCCGTGGCCACTAGTGCATTCGCACTGCAGACTGACTCCCCTGTCATTACCTCCCGTGGCCACTAGTGCATTCGCACTGCAGACTGACTCCCCTGTCATTACCCCCCGTGGCCACTAGTGCATTCGCCCTGCAGACTGACTCCCCTGTCATTACCCCCCGTGGCCACTAGTGCATTCGCCCTGCAGACTGACTCCCCTGTCATTACCTCCCGTGGCCACTAGTGCATTCTCACTGCAGGCTGACTCCCCTGTCATTACCTCCCGTGGCCACTCGTGCGTTCGCACTGCAGGCTGACTCCCCTGTCATTACCTCCCGTGGCCACTAGTCCATTCGCACTGCAGGCTGACTCCCCTGTCATTACCTCCCGTGGCCACTAGTGCATTCGCACTGCAGGCTGACTCCCCTGTCATTACCTCCCGTGGCCACTAGTGCATTCGCACTGCAGGCTGACTCCCCTGTCATTACCTCCCGTGGCCACTAGTGCATTCGCAGTGCAGGCTGACTCCCCTGTCATGGGTGTGTGGGAGATTATTCTCGCTCGCTCTTATTCTGCCAGCCGACGATGGGATTTTCGTCATTGACAGGAGTTGGTTGAGTGGGCAATGTGTGAGCGTTCGGAGTGCTGGGGCATGTTGTGTGTGGGGTGCTGCGGGGATGTTAACTACCTCGCCTGATATACAGGAGGTCGTGGGTGCGATCCCGGCCCTGACGCCTGCTGCTGTATATCTGGAGTTTGCGGTGTCTCTCTCTCCATGGTGAGATGTTAACTACCTAGCCTGGTATACAGGAGGTCGTGGGTTCGATCCTGACTCTGATGCCTGCTGCTGTATATTTAGAGTTTGCGTGTCTCTCTCGTCGTGGTCACATTCGATTTTTCTCCGGGTCCTCCGGTTTTTCCCTCCACATTTAGAACCAACATCGCCCGTTCAGAGTATCCAGCTGCTATACATTTCCCACGTGATAAGCCCACTTCGTTGAGTAATCATTTGTGGCCAGGTCGCTTCTGATAAAGAGCTGCATATCTCAGTGGGGCCTTACCTGGTAAAATAAATTTATTAAAAATAGTCTGTGTAGGCTGTGTGAACACGCGTGGGGTGCGGTAGTGTTGAGGTTAGCGCGCTGCACTACGAACCCGGTCACCTGAGTTTGATTCCCGCTCACGGCCAACACCGGTGACGATCTTCTTTGGCTCTTTCGGTAAAGTCACGTAGAATGAGAATAAAATAATAAATTAATAAAATAAAATAACACAATAAAATTCTCACGACGTTTCGGCCACAACACAAGCGGCCTTCATCAGGTGAAGGGACGAGACTGTCTGGAGGACAGCACCTGATGAAGGCCACTTGTGTTGTGGCCGAAACGTCGTGAGAATATTATTGTGTTATTTTATTTTATTAATTTATTATTTTATTCTCATTCTACGTGACTTTACCGAAAGAGCCAAAGAAGATGAATCCTTGCAGTCACGAAAGCTTTAAATCGAAATTTAACCGGTGACGATTATCTGAACCCGTCCTGGGTCACCCCTAGGTCATCTCAGCCTCAAAAAATGAGTACCTGATGTGGTGTGTAAACATCGCCATTTGGGGAGACAAAGGCGGCTGGGCGTGGTGGTGGCCACCAAGCCAGCCTCTTCGTGTGCCGTGCCGGCCTTCACAGGCGCTGCTCGCTAACAGCACTTGCCCCAACAGTCTGTTATGGCTATACGGGGGATCTTTGTCTTTGTGTGAACACGTGCAGGGGGGCAGGTGGGAAGCGGTGTCGGGCGTGGGAGCCCCAACAGACCCTCAGCCCCACCCCACGCCCGCCCCCCACCCACCCCTCACCCACCCCACGGCCCCTAATGCCCCCCACCCATCCCACGGCCCCCCACCCACCCCACGCCCCCCCCCCCACCCCACGCCCCCCCACCCCACGGCCCTTACCCACCCCACGGCCCCTCACGCCCCCCACGCCCCCCCCAACCCACCCCACGCCCCCCCCAACCCACCCCACGCCCCCCCCAACCCACCCCACGCCCCCCCCAACCCACCCCACGCCCCCCCCAACCCACCCCACGCCCCCCCCCAACCCACCCCACGCCCCCCCCACCCACCCCACGCCCCCCCCAACCCACCCCACGCCCCCCCCCAACCCACCCCACGCCCCCCTCACCCACCCCACGGCCCCCCCCCCCCACCACCACCCCAAACTCCTCCCTCTTCACGCACCGCGACGCTGAGACCACGCCCCTTGCCGACTTCACACTGCGCGGCCCCGGCTCAGGCTCAGGAGGAGGAGAGGGCAGGGGACTCACCCCCAGCCCGACACCGCAGCAGGGGACGCAGCGGCTGCCCGCGCTGCCGTCTTTCCACTTCGTCTGCCTTCTTCACACTTCTTCGCTATGGCCCTGCGACGCTCGCATCGCTTGAAGGTACGACGGGGTCTGGAAGAGCAGAGATTGGGCGGAGAGTGGAGAGCGGAGAGTGGGAGTCCACGGGACGACAGCTTGAATGTACAGGGTCCAAGAAATAGACATGGAGTAGGGAGAGCGGGGGTAGAGAGAGAGAGGGAACGGGTAAGGAGGAGAGAAGAGCTTGAAATATTTTGTGAAATCTTTCATTTAAAAAAGGGGTGGGTGGGGGGGTTTACATAAAGCAAAGCATTAAAAAAACACACACACAAAAAAAAACAAAATGATGAACGAAGCAAAGTGCCGACCACACCGAGCATCTTCTTGTTTCCTCTGATCGTTAAAAAAAAGGGAGAGATGGGTGAAAGAAGGAGTTGGCTGGGTGAGTGGAGAGTGGAGGTGGGGTCGGGGTAAGCCCTTGGGACGACAACCCAGGTCGGCGGACCCAACTGTGGCAGGCAGCAGCGAGAGCCGCCGTGATTGTGGTCGGTGTTCAGGAGCTCGATGCCAAACGTGGAGGTCTCCTGCTGCTGCTGCTCGCCACGACGAGAGGGCTTCTTCGGCAGCGAGGGCGACAGTTCGTGTCGTGTCGCTGTTCCTCCTCTACAGTTGGAGGAGAGTAAACTGCAGGCTGGTCCAGATGTATTGTGACCTCCCCCCTCCCCCCCCCCCACACATTAATTTTTTTTCAAACTTTATATATATAAGATTTTAAAATAAAGGGTTATTTAAAACAGAAATTAATATTGCAAAGGACGAACCAATATCATGGGTCAATTAATCGCAGGGTCACAAGACACCTGGACCACCCTGTACAGTGGCTTTACTCTGTGGCCCACAGTTCGGGTTTCAAAGGCCACAGTCGAACTACTGTGGTTTGTGTCTTTAATGAGGGTCTATGGGTCTCTATGCATCTCTATGTGTCTTCGTGTATCTCGATGAGTCTATATGGGATTACTATGTGGTTGCATAGTTTGGGTTGCATGACCACAATCGCATTACTTTCGCTTGTGTTTTCAATGTGTCTCCATGGGTCTCTGTGTATCTCTATGGGTCTATATGTATCTCTATGGGTCTATATGTATCTCCATGGGTCTTTGTATCTCTATGTGTCTCTACGGGTCTTTATATATCTCGATTGGTCTCTATGTATCTCTATGTGTCTCTATGTATCTCTATGGGTCTCTATGTATCATCTATGTATCTCTATGGGTCTCTATGTATCTCTATGGGTCTCTATGTATCATCTATGTATCTCTATGGGTTTCTGTGTATCTCTATGGGTCTCTATGTATCTCTATGGGTCTCTATGTATCTCTATGGGTCTCTGTGTATCTCTGAGTCTCGGTATATCTCTATAGGTCTCTGTGTATCTTTGTGAATCTCTATGTATCTCCATGGGTCTCTATGTATCTCCATGGGCCTCTATGTATCTCTATGGGTCTCTATGTAACTCTATGGGTCTTTGTGTATCTCTTTGAGTCTCGGTATATCTCTATGGGCCTCTGTGTATCTTTGTGAATCTCTATGTATCTCCATGGGTCTCTATGCATCTCCATGTGTCTCTATGGGTCTCTGTTTATCTCTATGAGTCTCGGTATATCTTTATGGGCCTCCGTGTATCTTTGTGAATCTCTATGTATCTCCATGGGCCTCTATGTATCTCCATGGGTCTCTATGTATCTCTATGGGTCTCTATATATCTCTATGGGTCTCTGTGTATCTCTATGAGTCTCGGTATATCTCTATGGGCCTCTGTGTATCTTTGTGAATCTCTACGTATCTCCATGGGTCTCTATGTAGATATCTCGACGAATCTCCATGGGTTTACTTTGTGGTGCATAGTTGGGGTTTCATGACCACAATCGCACGAGACCCTGGCTTGCGTTTACGAAGGAGATGTAATCACGCACCGGCCTGTTTGATGTCCTGATGCGCTGATTGGTCACGACCACCCCAGTGTCTTCAATGAGGAATGTCCGAGCGAGGAGGCGCGCTCCATTGATTTTACGGTTTCCTTCGCGCAGATTTACGTTTTGAATTATTTTTTGTTGTTGTAAAAAAATACAATCTTTTCGACGCAAACTTTTGCGAAACCGTTGGCGCGCATTCGTAACGCTCTTAGTGTCGGAGGTCTGGGCCACGTTGGAGCGAATTCGGGAGTGATTTGGTGCAACTGGCGGCAGGGTTTTGGCTACGTCCGGTGCGAAGGGAGCTCAACATCGGCGCACGCGTGCAAAGGAGGAATATCCAAGGTGCTTCAAGCCAAAGCGCCCATCGAAGGCATCACTGAGTCGCTTGCCTCGGCGGGAGATTCAGAATTCGCAGGTGCAGAAAACTAAGTTCGGGTTTGCAAAACAATCCAAAGTGAACCCATTCGATTGGACGTCAAACAAGTTAAAGCAGCTTGCTGCTCAAGGGAGCACTTCCCACGTTGATCCTCATCTCCCGTCTACGGCCGTTTAAGTCGGTGGTGCAAATGTTCTCACATTCCTGTGTTGGGGGCGAGTCCACGCATAGGACAGCCAGCCACTGCTGACTTCCCCACAACGTTAGTACTCGTTTTATCAACCGTGAACGGAGGGATGATGGGCTGAGTAAACCCCCCCTGCCCACCCCCCCCCCCCCCCCCCCCCCCCCCCCCCCGGAATGACTAGGATTGCAACATTGGGAGCTGGCTCGCTCGACAGCTGAACCACGTGGCCGGATAGAAAGACTCTCATCCCAGACCTTGAATGAACGAGATTAATCCAAAGGCAGTGGATCCGACTCAAGTCAATCTCCACCTTGCCCATACTCTGATCGTGCTTTCAATTTTGTTTCTTTCTTGTGACGTTCTGACCCTGTGCCCCAAATTGGGACATCTATGAAAAAAAGAGCTTCACAGCTCGCCGGATCTCCCCTGCGGTACAAAAACATATTTTGATTTAACGAATGCCTGTTTACGTGTTCGTGAGGCTCTGTCACACCCCCCCCCCCCCCCCCCCCCCCCCCCCCCCCAACAAGGGACTCCCCTCCGCTCTCCACTCTCACCCAGACACTTCTCGCCGAGAGGGCCACTTGCGCTCCCTCCACTCGGCTCTTGCTCTTCTAAACAGCCGCCGCTTCCGTTGCCCTGTGCTGGGATATTTGAGGAATCTGCCGACGTACGCAATTTGTACGTACGTCGAAATTCCCTCGCGCTGAGCTTATTACGTACCGCTCGTCCTCGTAAGCCGTCGAACCAGAGACGGTGGTCCACCGCAGCGTCGCGCGCTTTTCAGAAGCGCTTCTGCGGCCGTCTGGAACGCTCTGACCTTCCGATATTAGGAAGCCGCCGGGAGCTATGATGCACGTTTAAATCATCATCATCATCATCATTTATATTGACAAGCTCATTTTCCTTCGAACTACTTTCGCGTTTAGTTTGCTGCCCTTCCTCACACTTCCGATTAGCACGGTTAGCTACATACTTTGAACTCCTTTCGCACCGTACGTAGCCAACCATGCCAGTCGGAGTGTATATTAGTGTAGTGTGTAGTAGTATGTACAGTGAGGGAAGAAAGTATTTGATCCCCTGCTGATTTTGTACGTTTGCCCACTGACAAAGAAATCATCAGTCTATAATTTTAATGGTAGGTTTATTTGAAGAGTGAGAGACAGAAAAACAACAACAAAATCCAGAAAAACGCATGTCAAAAATGTTATAAATTGATTTGCATTTTAATGAGGGAAATAAGTATTTGACCCACTCTCAATCGGAAAGATTTCTGGCTCCCAGGTGTCTTTTATACAGGTAACGAGCTGAGATTAGGAGCACACTCTTGAAAGGAGTGCTCCTAATCTCAGCTCGTTACCTGTATAAAAGACACCTGTCCACAAGCAATCAATCACATTCCAAACTCTCCACCATGGCCAAGACCAAAGAGCTCTCCAAGAATGTCAGGGACAAGATTGTAGACCTACACAAGGCTGGAATGGGCTACAAGACCATTGCCAAGCAGCTTGGTGAGAAGGTGACAACAGTTGGTGCGATTATTCGCAAATGGAAGAAGCACAAAAGAACTGTCAATCTCCCTCGGCCTGGGGCTCCATGCAAGATCTCACCTCGTGGAGTTGCAATGATCATGAGAACGGTGAAGAATCAGCCCAGAACTACACGGGAGGATCTTGTCAATGATCTCAAGGCAGCTGGGACCATAGTCACCAAGAAAACAATTGGTAACACACTATGCCGTGAAGGACTGAAATCCTGCAGCGCCCGCAAGGTCCCACTGCTCAAGAAAGCAGATATATATGCCCGTCTGGCGTTTGCCAATGAACATCTGAATGATTCAGAGGACAACAGGGTGAAAGTGTTGTGGTGAGATGAGCCCAAAATGGACCTCTTTGGCATCAACTCAACTGGCCGTGTTTGGAGGAGGAGGAATGCTGCCTATGACCCCAAGAACACCATCCCCACCGTCAAACATGGAGGTGGAAACATTATGCTTTGGGGGTGTTTTTCTGCTAAGGGAACAGGACAACTTCACCGCATCAAAGGGACGATGGACGGAGCCATGTACCATCAAATCTTGGGTGAGATCCTCCTTCCCTCAGCCAGGGCATTGAAAATGGGTCGTGGATGGGTGTTCCAGCATGACAATGACCCAAAACACACCGCCAAGGCAACAAAGGAGTGGCTCAAGAAGAAGCACATTAAGGTCCTGGAGTGGCCTAGCCAGTCTCCAGACCTTCATCCCATAGAAAATCTGTGGAGGGAGCTGAAGGTTCGAGTTGCCAAACGTCAGCCTCGAAACCTTAATGACTTGGACAAGATCTGCAAAGAGGAGTGGAACAAAATCCCTCCTAAGATGTGTGCAAACCTGGTGGCCAACTACAAGAAACGTCTGACCTCTGATTGCCAAAAAGGGTTTTGCCACCAAGTACTAAGTCATGTTTTGCAGAGGGGTCAAATACTTATTTCCCTCATTAAAATGCAAATCAATTTATAACATTTTGACATGCGTTTTTCTGGATTTTGTTGTTGTTATTCTGTCTCT